TGTATACTCAGCTGGTCAACTGCAGGACTTAGCTGGAGACATTGCTGTGGCTGATCCAGGAAGTCACATGATCGACTGCTCTCTCTTGTATTACACATGTTTGCACTTTAGTGTCTAACATGCAAAGATGTGAAGAAGTCTCTGTTTACCAGTTACAGAACTGAAACTGTCAGGAGCAGCGTATGTGGACAGGTTATCATCAGAGGAAGTGACTTTTCCTCCTTTTTCCTTCGCCTGCTTATCAGTAATGTTGATCTATGATGACATGTTTACTCAGAGAGACATGATGGCTTTAAAACAGACATGTGGAAAGACTCCCCGTTTTAGTGCCCCACAGCAATCTCTGTGTTACATAAAGATTAATGTTACACTACACCTAGTGTGAAGCTACAGGGCAAATCTAATATTGGTCATTAAAAGTAAAATGTAAAGGTTAGTCACCGTGAACAGAGAGTCAGAGGCGTGCAGGTTGCTTTGGGGAGGAGAGAGCGGGGATGCTGATCCTACATCTGAGGTCAGCATTAAAGGAAAACACACAGCAGTCTATGTGAAAGCTTAAAGAGTAACACTACCTGGTGGCTTAGAAACAGCACGGCACAGCAGTGTAAGCGCACATTCAAAGACACACAAATATAAGATTTAATCATGTCGTAACCATTAAGTGGAGACGGTTTTCCTCCCAGCAGCTGGAGGTTTGAGTGTAAGCTGATGGGCAAGCTGCAGAAAGTGAACGAGCAGTGTAGCGTGACAGAAGTGACATGTTCAGCTGCTTAGTGTAGCTGAGCATCTAATCAGAAATCCAGCCTGTATATTGTTAGTGCTTCTTCCCCAATGCAAAGACAACAACTGTGTGATGAGACGCAGACCACAGCAGCTATAAACATATTATTACTGCACTGAGGAAATGTAGAAAGGGTTGGGTGGAAGAAAGAGTCTAAAGCTCTGAGTAGCCAATGTTTGTTTTTATTCTCGTCTGACATTGGCCAATCAGCTGGGCAGTCCATATATACGGTTTTTAAATGGAGCTTTTCTATTTTCTCAAAGCTTTACACAACTAGGCTCTTTCATCCATTCACACAAAAACTTTTTCTATTTAACTGCTTTCTATCTAA